AAGCAAGAACTGACTAGAGATAACCCATCTGATGCTCATGGCTTTTATATGCTTTAAGAATTTCCATAACACTGCACAGACATTTTTCTAAAAACTCTGGCAAGGCTGTGATGCAAACAATGTTGATGTAATTAGTTTCAGAATGTTTAAAACATGTAAAAGTGCCTCTATATATTTTAGAATTAAAAAAAAAACAAAAACACACACATATACAAAACAGCCCTTGAACCTACCAGGAACAATCTGCAATCATTCTTAAACTGATGAAAGCAAACTTTGAGTAGTAACCAAGCTCCTCTCCATATAGGACCATGCCATTCTAACAATAAACTCCAATGAAAAACAAATCCTGTATATGTACAAGTAAACACAAACACATATCCAAAGCATATCTGTGAGATCCTACACTAATACAATTAACAATTAATTCATATCCATAAGTAGTTATTTTAATTTGTCTCAAGAGTAAAACAAGACACTCAAACCTCTTAACATGAGAGTCAAGTGTGTGAGACAAATTAATGGTACATCTTCTCCAGTATTCTGTCCCTAGAAATAGCCAAAATAGGTAATGAATCTGGGATATCTCCCACCAACACTCCTCTGACTTCCAACTACCTTGATGCCAAGAGCTTCCTGAACATGATTTCTGTTAATTTAGCAACTTTTAGTACGTTGTCCTTCCAAGCAATATTTCAGTTTTTCGGTCTCCCCTTAGAAACCATATCCATTTTTAATATCCACTGCACTGGTGCTAAACAGTGGGAGATATCATCTCACATGTCTCTCCACTACCAATTTTATGGAGATGCTCTTACTTTCAAAGGCTTAGAAGTTGTCTTCTCTTAGCTTGGTATGTTCTTGTTCTAAAAGGTAGTGGCCAGTCCTCTTCCTCTCCTCCTCTTCCACTGCAGATATCTGATTTTGCAAATTTTCAGGATGTTGTCCTCAAGTCACTGCTTTCCCAAACCAAAAACCCAGTTTCCATAAGAATTCTTCATTTGATAGCAACCCCATGCATCTCATCATCCCTGTTACCCTTCTCTGAGCCTCTCCCAGTTCTAATAAATTCTGAGATGAAGGTAGCAAAAGTGAACACAGCACTCAGGATACGATTGAACCATGGATTTCATAGAACCATAGAATCATCAAGGTTGGAAAAAACCCACAAGATCATCCAGTCCAGCCATCCACCCAATACCAATAGTTCTCACTAATTTATATACTTTCATAATGACGTTTTCCCTTTTACTCTCTTTTTCCTAATATCTCCTATCATTGGAGTTGTGCTTTGGTGATCAATGAGTCAATGACTCAGAATCATCCCCACGTCTCAAACCTCTGTGGTAATGCTGAGATCAAACTCTTGTATCTGCTCCTCAGTTATCCTCATTTATCTCTATTGAATTTCATCTCTCATTTTGTTTCAGTCTTCAGAATTTTCAATCTCCTCCTACTGTTCTTCACGGATGCTTCCCTTCTTCACAGCAAACAGGCTAATCCACTTGCTCATCCCTTACTTATATCATTTATGAAAGCAAGGAACAGCACAGACCTCTGTGGAACGTAACTGTGAAACACCTGTAATAGAGAATTTTCTTTTCACTTCTACCCTTTGATCCCACCTTCTAGTCTGTCATTCATCTGTGCAAAGACCTACGGGCATTCCCTCTTGAAAACATCACTCTGACTCTTCCAGGACAATCATGGTCACCGTCAATTCTACGCTTATTACAGCTTCTACCAAAATTAACTGATGGAAATCTCAGGTTTGCCTGCTGCAGGTCTGCCTGGACCACCTCCAAAACCGTGTTCTACATACTTACATTTCAGAACTTTTTTCTAAACCTGCATACTCCAGAATGTGTAATTTCAACATCACAATTAAGCTGCAGAACACAACTAGATAAAAGTTAAAAGCTTTACTCCTTGAGACAGTCATCTACCTTGAAACATAACACATGGTATTTTTAACAGTTTCAGTAATCTGTTACGTAAAAAAGTTACTGGAGCTTGGCCTGCAAGGTGGAATTCACAAGGATATTGGTGAACAGAAGATAAACTCCACTCATGTTTATCATTTATAATCTTGTACAGTTTAGCCAGAGAGGGATAGCCAGCACTGGAACAGCACAGAAAAAAAAAGCAGCTACTACTCACACTACTTTGTACTGTGCCCATCATTTAAGCTGAAAACGTAAAACTCATGGAAGAGTTCAGTAATTTCACCTGAAGGTCTGCTAGGCAGACAGCACAAAGGAGCTGGCCCTGTTGGAGATATTAACAGGGTGCTAGAAGGCAGGGGCAGGTTTTAAATAGCAAAGCTTATTAAAAAAAAATCATGGAAAGAAAACATAGGACTACAATAATCCAATCATTGATTCATCCCTCGGGCTTGGAGAAATCCTCTGTTGTGGCATAATTTTTTGCCTGATGGGAAGGAGAAAAAAGGCAATACCCATCTCACCAACACAAGCTCAAATAAGAGGGACAAACCTGTGGAAGAAAGAGTGTGAAAAATCTTGGTGCCACATAAAGTGGCTGCAATAGCACAAGACCTATGATGATGGTTAGGAAATTTACACTTGGGACAAATAGACAACTCATGACAAACATAAATAAAGTAACTGGGAGGAAAAGTGGTCTTCCCAGTACTTTTGTACTTTTGTCCCATCTTGAGTTCACGTGTTAACTATGCAGCAGTCCAAAGAACACTGAAGCCCTGTCCTGAACAACATTGCCTGGGGCTGAAAACTGTGAGAAGGTTAGCACTGTCAGGTGTTTTTTTTGGTTAGCATTTTTTTTCTGTTGTTGTTTTGTTTTTTAAATATAACCTTAGATGTATTACTTATTAGTGCTATTTCAATTAAAACCTTGATCATGTCTGCCCTGACTCCTCTGCTTCATTTATCCCAGCCCCAAAGAAAGACGAAAACTAACAAAGAGTGCAATTTGCAAGCTGCAAATCCTCCAAGATACCCTACAATTGAGGAACCACTGCTCTATCTGAAAAGAAAATAACTTCATGGATTACTTTAACTTTACATTAAATGAAGTGTCACTTACATTTAGTCAAGATGGCCTTGCTACTACCGCTATAGCTCTGATGTTGGATGATCGTATCACAAAACCTTATGAGATAAAACACAAAAGGCTTAAGGAAGAGTAACTGAAGATGCAAAATGCTTAGGGTAAAAATAACACATTCTGAGAGATACGATGAGTTCTGCTGCTTTATGCCTCAAGCAGTACTCAATTATCATGTATATGTGAGTGATTTAAGACAACACAGAACAAGGGAAAATTTGAAGCAACAAAGCAGATCTCTCTCCAGATTGGTCAGTTGCCTACAGCAACCTGCCATCAGTGAGCCCTTCAGAACCCCCAGCTCAGGCACTGAAGGTAAGTTTGATTTGGTCTCTCCATACTGGCTTTGTCTAAGCAATGACACTAGCATATACACAACCAGCTTACTCTGATTATGCAGAATTCACAGTGCTTGCCTGCTGTTTTGTTAAGAGAGCATCCTTGTTAATGAGACAAGGATGTAGCTCTGCATTTATTCCTGTTTCCCATTCAGTGCACTGAGCAGCACATTCAGTTTGTCATGCTGTGTATTTTGGGGGCACGTGTGAATTGATAAGGATTTTGAGATTTGATGTCAAATTAGTAAATAATTTTTAAAAAAAAAAAAAAAAAAAGCATAATGTAGACCCAGATCACTGAAAGCAATGAGAGGAAATGAAGCCAAGCAGGTTAGTATGATTTTAGAATCAGGTGGTTGGCAGCAGCTACAAATTTCAAGTAACAAAGGCAGAAGTTCCCCAGGTCCATATAAAGTCCACCCTGGAGCTGCAGCAACAGCAAACTAATCCGGGGAGCTCCTATCAGCCTGATGAAATGCCATCAGCACATAGCCACCAAACAGCTTTACCATTAATCATTAGATAATTGGCTCATTACTGGCAGGGCAGCCAAGCCAGTAAGGCTCCCTGCAGCACAAGGAAGTTGTTCCACATCATGTCAATGCACAGCAGGTCACGTACAGGGACAGGGCTCCTCACTGGCACAGAGACAGGTGGTGAGACACATCCCTGTCGCCCTGCTCTGTCTCCACCTCTCAAAACACACAGGCTTAAGACAAGCACATTCCTTCACATTCTGCTAGACATGGCTGATCACAGTAAGCATTCACCACTATCAATACTGAGTGGTCTGTGATGAAAGATCTGTCATGTTTGTTCTCCACAGTTTAAGACAAGTGCAGAGGGTTTTTTTGTTGTTGTTGTTGTTGTTGTTGCTTTTTTTAAGCAACACAGTTTAGACACTGCCTCCCTGATTTCCAAACCTACATTAAGTGATGGGAGAAAAACATATGCAAGATTTTGCCTTGAACAACTGCCAACAGAAAGGTGGAAGGAAGATGGTGACAAAAAGGATGGAATAAAAACAGTCTCATGACTGCATGGTATGCAGCAATATTTCATGCACATTATGGGAAAAAAATCCTGGAGGGCAGATGGAAACATGGAGATGTTCTTTCGTGAGCCCCAGAGAGTGCATTCCTCTAATGTGCTCTCCAACGAGATGCTTGAGCCCCTTTCCTGCTGTGGGAAAGTAGCTGTAGATTAGAGAAAAATTTGCAATCATAACGGTTTTAGTTTAATTTTATTTTTAAAATGTGAAGGGATAACTTTTACATTGGCCATGTATTCAGTTCATGTTTCAAACAGGTACTCAGAAAAGGGATTTATTTACTGATATAGATGATGCTGCTTTTTCAAAGGAAAAAAAAAAAGACCTTAAAAACAAAGTAGGTACTGCAAGGAGTGCTCCTCTAGATGACACACACAAGATCCCAAATACTGTCAGAAAATACTTCTGATTAAATCAGCTAACAAAGTGGTCTTAACATGGAACATCTCTATGTATTGCTGGGTGTTGGAGGTAGAGGTGAAGCACATGACCAGTGTTGTGTTATAACTGTTTATGTTTAGCACCTTTGTATTGCCCGTTTCTTGTCCCCTTCCAGAATTGCACAATCCATTTCAATCTTCTTGGGAGTTCTGCAGGAGACCCTCCTTTCACCACTCTGCCTTTGCAATCTCCTGCTGAGCTGACAATTTCAAGGTTCAGATCCACCTTTCATTTATCTTCTGAAATCTGACGGCTATCTTTTAGCTAATAATTCCCCTCTTCATACGGGCTGCAGCTTTTTATGTGCTAAGAGAAATCAGAAAAAAATAAAAGAAGTTACTACACACCCCACTCATTACAAACTGCTTTAATAATGCTAACTAGCTTCCTCCCTCAATCACATTCAAATTCTTCTCCCCCAACATTTCTTTTCACCACGTTCTGTTCAAAACTGCACGATGCTTTCCAAATTGCTTCCACATACTATATATGCTGCTTTAGGTTTTTCTGGGACATACGTGATGGAGTAAGCTGCTCACTACTGTTTCCAAACTCAAAGTCGTCAGACTCTGTTGGACAGTTATTTGAAAACAAAGGGTTTTGGTTGTATTTAAAACAAAACAAAACAAAAAACAAACAAAAAAACATTGGGCATTACATTTGTAATTGCACACATGTGCAACTAGCTGTCCTTATGCTGAAGGATACTACTCCCTGGGAGATGAAAGGGCTTCATTTCTACAGACACAGGTAAGCTGAGATAACATACTGTAAGGCTGCCTATTGAAAAGCATCATCCAGGAACAATTAGGTGATTATATCCTAGAAGGAAGGGGGTAAGAAAAAAAAGGAAAAAAAAAAAAGGAACTCCTTTACCTTGCAACATTTGTATTAAACCTCCCTCCCACACATTCATTGTGGCTCCTACAAGTTACTGTAAAGCACGCTGCAAAATTAAGACAAATCTGTACTGGTAGTTACATATACACAAGTCCACTACACTAAATAAAGTTTTAGGAAAGCAAAGCAGTTTGAAATTCCTTGAGTGCTTCGCCCTCAGCAGAGATTGAGCACGCTAACAAAGCTCAGCAACAGCACGGCTTTATATTTGAGGCTGCATTCGGATTTATAAACACTCTGAGCATGACTAAGGTCTGGAGCAGGGGGGCAGCATAACCAAAGCTGGGGAAGGCTGCGATTAGCGAGGAGGAAACAAGAGGAGATCAGATCAGCTGAGAGAGGAGGCAGAAAAGTGCAACTCATGTCCGGGACCTGGCACAGCAAAGAAGTGAGCTGCTTTAAACACAGATTTAGGAGGGGGATGCTCTTTCAGTTGATGGAAGAGGCAGGAGAAAGAAAACCACACAGTGTGAAAAATGCATAAGCATCAAGAAGTGTGATCAAGAACTCTTCTATTTGTGATGTCTGGTACCGAAGAGAGAATGCTAATAAATCCCATGTCAACAGTGCAGATTTGTCACAGATGACACTGAGGAGTACTGAGGTGAGGGGTGCAGCCAGGAGGGGGAAACACAGAGTCACATGTAACATCATCCATCCACTGCATCTGTGCCTGCCCCAAACAACCACTTCCCTCCAGTCTCCGAACCCTCTCTCCTTCCACCCAGGCGAGAAGCTGAGATGCCAGGAAGCAGGAAGGAGAGCTGTGCCACAGCTCTAGCTCAGTGGGGAAGTATTTGCTCCTTGCTGTGTGTAGCCATGAACCCTCCCCACAGCATCCCGGCTTCCCTACGCAAGCAGAGAGAGAGCCATGAGCTCCTGAGATCAGCATCAAGAGCAGGGTCACCTCTCCAATCCTTCTAGAGATCTCCAGGCTTCCCAAACAGGGCAGGGAACTATGGGATGGGCTGCAGAGACTTGGGTGGCAAAGAGACCTTCATTATGGGGTGGGTCTCTTACACAGAGGGTAGGAAACAAAGATAACAAGGGGAAGGAGAAGAAGGAGGTACAAGGAGACTGACAATAAAGTTTCCAAGTAGTACTTCAGCAAACCAGGGCTGGTAATTAGGCAAGGTGAGCTGAGTGAGGGCTGCATGGAATTTACTGTGTTTGACATAAAATAATTTGAGATGGGAAAGGAGTACCAATAGTAAAGCTGTTATTCTTCAGGTGAGAGGATAAGAGAAGCAAAGACACGTAGGAATCACAGCTGGAGCACAGAAGGTTGGAGGGGGCCAGTGAGCGAGAGCACGTATGTGTGGGTGAGGAACCCACGGCTAATAAATAAAGACATGCCTGACCTGCGTTTGAGAACTGCCGAGTGGAACTGCAAATGGAAGGCCGCTACCTGAGCCCGAGCTCTCCACTCCAGAAAAAGTAGTTCAAACCCTACTGTGAAATTATTGTGCAATTGGGCATGCAGTACTTACTGGATCGGCTTCCTCCTCCAGTCTCTGCGGGATCCTGTGGTTGTTTCTTGGGTATTGCTCGCATCTGATGAGTCAGTGCTTCCAGCAAGCCCAGGCCAGGCTGGACAGTATGGCATAGGTGAGGCTACTGACCTGTACTGCTGGGCTTTTACCTGGCTGCCTCAAGCCTCTGCTGTGGCACTGTGCACCATCCGGGAAAAAAAATAAATACGTCACTCCTGGATTTGGTGGCAATGTCACGGGCAGAACCCCAGCCCAAAGAACTTGTGAGGGCACTGAGCAAGAATCTCGTTATGTTTCCTTGTCAATTGACAGATCCATTACGGCCTTTTTTATTGATTCATCCCTGAGGACACCTCCAGGTGTGCCCTTTGGCTTTCATTTCTGTGGGCACTGGCCTGTATCTGTACGTCCCGCAATGATTGTCATCTGAGTAGCGTCAGGCATGAACAAATGAGAGGCCACACAATTCCAGAGACAATGTAGACCCTTCGTAACTAATAAATCACCACAACCAACCTCTTCACAATCTTTATCGTAAGTGCCAACACATATAAAGCATTTACCACTAATCAGGATGGTCCTGGAGTAAAGAAGGACATGGGTAGAGAGCCAGGTGGGAAGAAATACGGTACAGAGAACAAACTAGCATATTATAAGGCAGTAGCTCAAAGACACCTTAGAGAGGAATCTAACTGACTGCAATGTGCATTTCCTGCACTTACTGCAGCAAGCAGCCTTTTTCTGACACAACCTGCAGAATTCAGTTCAGCACGGACACTCGATGCCATGAGAAGAACTAACATGTTCAAAGCAGCAGCCTACTGTAGACAAAACCATAGTAAATAGGGTGTCTAGACTGTTGATCACAAAAGCTTTCTCACTACCTCTGTTATAAGGTTTACAAAAGGGACAATTCTACCCATTATTTGCTTGAGTGAATCCTATGTTTCTGTACTTAGAAAAGCCTAACAGAAGTAAAAGAAACGCAGTAATTTTTTTCATGCAACTTTCTGCCTGTTAGGGTAAATTTCAACATACAGAAGGTAAAAGCAGACCATTCCTCATCCTCTAAGAGCCTGCTCTAACAGACAGCAGAAATGTGTTTGGGCGGCTGTTTTTAAGCATTTCTTCCCAAAGCACTGAGATGCCCAAAGAACGAGTAAGGTAGATGAACATTTCAAATCAGGTAAATCCTAGTAGCGTCTCTCTCATACTTCTCTGTAACTTCAAGCAAAAGGGGCCCATATGTGCTGCCTATCTGCTAGTGCATTTTTATTAGCTTCCAACCCTTGCTTAAATAAAGAAACAAAACTGCTTAAATAAATCCACACCACCTCTCTGTCAAGGATCCCTTCCCCATGCAACCTGACCTGACAATCCCACTGGGCTCCTGCAGATTCTCCAGCACAGTGCTACCATCATTCTGCAGAGATTTCACCTCTCTAACAGAAAAACCTAGGAACCTCTCCAGCTCCGAGCTGCCTTTAGGTCAGCCTGCTCTATGAAACAACTGTTTGACTCTTCTCTTAGATATCCAGGCTACTCTTTATTTACAAAGGCCTGGATGTTGAGATCACACCACCACAAACAAAGACCATATTTATTTACAGATACTACTAGTGATTTACAAGAAAATGTAATAAGCAGTTCACATATGAATATGAATTTGAAAACATCTGAGCACTTCAGCTCAGATATTTCAGCGCTTCAGCTGCTGATATTTCAGCAATCTTTATTAACTTCAGTGTTGCATCAAATGCTGTAAGAGAATGACAGATTACTAATGCCAAGTTAGTCATTTTCAGTAACAGTTCTCATGGAATTTTTCCCTTCTAAATAATCAAAACAACTGGTCATTGGACCTTATAAGGAAAAGCGCCATACCAAACAATTTCATAAAATACAACTGCTTTAACCTCACAGTTCCCTCCAGCATGTCTGCAGCACCTGAATTTCAGGACTACACTTAAAAAAATAAAACAAAAGCAACAACAAATAAACAAACCAAACAAATAAACAGCAACAAACCAACAACACGAGTGAATACTATTAAAATAATTAACAGTAGACTAACTTGATGACGCAGTTTCAGCTGTTCTCACAACAGTGAGAGATAATAACACCACAGCGTAGCAAATTTCAAACTAATAAGCACAAATACTTTGTTTTTAACAGCAATTAGCCTGTGAGATGCAGTGCCAGTAGGTGGCATACAGTTATGCAGACAACACTCATCTCTAATGCGATCATCAGAATGGTATCGTGATTTAAAGAGGGCTTCAGAAAAAATAATAGCAGCCCTCTTCTTCCAGAACAGAATCCAAAACAGCAGAGAGTTAAAAGAGGATTTTATCCTGTCTGTCTTACGGTTATTCCACCCCTTGAAGCATCTGATAGAAGTTAATACCAAGATAAATTACGGGACTAGACAGAACAGCAGTCAGGACTCCTGTTGCGTAAGATCTAGAGAGGATAACACCTTTGTGAACTCCTTGCAGCCTCCCACTGCTCCAGAACGTCTCTTGAAACATGCAGTTCAGCTTGCCTCAAGTATAGCAAAGTATATGCTCTAAGACCTCAGGCACTGGGACACCTGCCAAGTCACAACAAATATGTACACACAATCTAATCTACTTAAATTTTGAGTGGAAACTCTGTGCCCTTTAGACATATCCCTCAAGGCTACGAATAGCTTACTTGTTGGACAGGATGAAGTTTCCCTATGTAAGTAATAACCAAGCCCGTCTGGCATACAACCACATCTCCCAGCTCTTTCCAAAACCAAAGACTGTGAAGGGAGGAGGGATAGGGACGAAGGTGAGAAGATCAGGAGATAGGCGCAAAATAGAGTAAGGAAGGGAAAGCAAATTATAGGTGGATAAGGAACAATTATAAGGAAACAATCTCTTCCGTACTCTTTATTTGGCAGATGACAAGTTGGTTAAAAAAATGAAACAAAACAGTGAACAACGTGAAGAGGAAAGGGGGGCCTAAAAAGCAAAGTGAAGTGAGGCAGAGGCAAGGAAGCAAAGCTAAAATGCAAGGCAATGCTCACTGTCCGACAGATCTGAACACAGAGAGGGTTATTCACAGTCTTGGTATGACCATCTTTTCTCAGAAAAAAGGTGTCCAGAAAGCAAGCCAACGAAATCTTAAGGTGCCCGTGCTGGCTTCTGCAGCTCAAAATAAAATTAACAAAAGAATAATCCAAACAGTATAGCATACAGATGGATGCAAATGAGCAGAGGCATTTAATGACAGCACAACACAGAAGTTAAATAACTTGTTGCTTTCTGAAATGAGCTACTACTTCTGTTTTTCTTTAAAAGCAGGTGACCATTGGGTTTGAAATTTCATACAGCACTTGTTTCTATGACCTATGAACCTTCTGCTAAGAAAAGCTAAACAGCTAGATACATTTTAGTAAGGGATCTTTGCATTTGGATGCTTAAAGAAAATTTTCAGTGGAAGCCTCATTTCCTACCACAGTCCAATCTCTTATAATATAGTACCTATTAATCCTCTAAAAAGCTCTGTCTAATTGCACACAATAGTAGGGAGACTTATCTGAAGTACAGCCGGTGTAATTTACACTACTTGCTTTAGTAGGATTTACTCTACTCTTAACAGATAACATTACAACTACAAATTTCACAGTGCTCTGCACACACAAATCTGAATACCAGAGGACTTGTGCCACCACTGTTTGTACCCACACAAACCTGCAGTCCTTCAGGAAAAAGGAAAGCCGTGCTTGCAAGCATGGAGTGTGACTCCTGACAGCGAGTGCTGGGTAATCCAGTCTGACAGCACGGCACCCGCCCAAGCTTTCCGTCATCAGCAACACATGAGAAAGTAACACACAGAGACTTGGCTGTAGAAATTAAATTTCTTTCCCGTCTCCTATCAGATCATAGAAATCTGCAGAAGTTAATGAAAGGTATGCATCCCTTTCTCCTGCAGAGAGAGCTGGAAGCTCATCTTACTAAACCACGCGTGCTACGTATTATCGACCACACACGAGAAGCTTATTTCTGACCCCTGGTGATGAAAATCTTCCTCTTTCATCCCAAACACATGGCTCTCCTTGCCTGGCCAGGCTGCTGGGTGCTGGGGGACAACATCTGCTGGCAGGATGAACACAAAGTGGCCAGAAAGGGCTACGGGAAGGAGCAGCTAAGGAACAGCTCACTGCTGACAGAAACAGGCAGAAGGGTTTGATGACTCAAGCGCATCCCTTTTTGAAATGCTTTCCTTAGCAAAGCAAGGAAGTGCTTTCAGGAGTCTGCATCCCGAACGGGAGCTTGGAACACCAGAGGTTTGTATTTCAGTCTCCTCATTACATCAGCTGTCACAAAAACTTTGGGGTTTAGTAGCAAGAGGCTGAACTCACAAAGATGAGAGCTGCTACTTCCCTTGAATTGCAAGGCCATAGGAGCCAGCACTGTGAGACCTCATTTTTCCTTTTTTTCAATTGAAAACAAGACACTAAAGAATCACTCAGAGAAAATTGCTGGCAGTTAACCTCAAGTCCTGATTCCTCACCAGATTTGATATCTGGCTTGGCAAACAGCCTCAGCAGTTACCTTCCCCTCTCTGGACTCAGTCTCCAAAGCCAAGCAGCAGAATTAGGTGACTGCACAGCGGCAAGCACCTTGGTCCCTGGGGCAGCTGTGGGCAGAGGACATGTTCCCCAGTGCATGCTGCAGGTCAGCCATGGGCTTGCGGCCACAGGCCATCAACACCAAGCTCAGCGGAGCCCCAGCAGTCCTAAGGCAGGGCTAACAGCTCCTGTGCTGCTTCCAAAGCAATAGCCAGGGGACTGAGACAGACAAATGTCTGTACAGCTTTCCCGCTGAGTGGAACGGGCTGACAGACCTCTGCAATTTTGAACAGGCCTGCACACCAAAACAGATCAATGGTACTCCCTCCTACCTCTCTTCCCTTCTCAAACTGGTGCTCGTCTGACCACACAGAGTACTGGGACAGAGAGTTAAGGCAGTCCAATGAATTGCAGAAAAAAGCAGTTCGTTTCCATGCAGCCCCCCTTTGGAGGGGGCTTACTGACAGTATGGGGGAAGAGGTGAGAACAGCCTCTCAGGTAAAGGATTCCATCTCTGACTAGGATTCCTGCAGCTCTTGCTGAGGATCACCACGAAACCGCACCTACAGGTTCTGTGTGGCAGCTTGACATCAAGAACAGCAGAAGTTTTACTACCTACTAAATGAGCAGTTTTGGCAGCATCCTGACCCTGCAGGCGTGAGGGCCCCTACCCCTGGGCAGCAGATGGAGCACAGAGGATTGATGGGGCACCACGACCCAGCAAGGTGCCCGGCCTCAGCAGGGATGACAAGTGGCACTAGTGGCTGAATCCCTGCCACTGCAGGCATCTTCCCTGAATGAACTTTGCCGGAACTAAGCTTGCCGAATATCCACAGCCATTACTAACACCAAGGAGAAGCAACAGCAACTGTTTCAACTTGCCACTTCCACTACAGGGAAAACAAGAGAGAATCTTACAGTCCTCTGCTTCAGGGGTTATGCCAACTTCAGAGATGGGCACAGGGGCTTCTGAAAGATGAATTAAGTGAAATCTAGCATACCAACACAGCACTGCCTCCCACATTTCAGGACTATCATCTGATTTAACTGGAAGCAACACTGCCACGTGATAAGATGAGAGAGTCTCAGAACAGCATTAAATCCGAAAAGTTTCTGTCTCATTTCAGCATTGAGGAAAGGTGGAAAAAAGTTATCTGGCCACACTGTATCTGATGATAGCGCAGCTTCTTTCTTGGATCACAGTTTGGAAGAAAGAATGAAAACATGAAGGTAAAGAGAAAAAAAAAAAAAAAACACCAATAAAATATAACATGATTTTTAAAAGCTGAAACCATGTCAAACATCCAACTTTCCTTCAACATGACAAAATATTCTTTATAGAAAGGAAGCACAACAGCTCAAGTCCAACTCAGTCAGATATCTGATGTACCACCACCTGAGAAGCAGTTTGCTGAACTGAGAGGAGAGGGGCCAGTTCCAGAATTGCAAAGCAGGAAAAGCAGAAGATCAAGAGGAGATGAAAACAGTTTTCTTTCTGAAAGGTGGAAGGATGTTATTCATGGAGTTCTGCCAAGACTGCTTGTCTGTCTTTCCTGATCCAACATTTTCCTTTATATTTCTTGTTGCAACTTTACACGAGCACTACCAAAATTTGTGTAAAATACAAACCTAAGAGGTACTAGAAGTATTGTGCAGTCTGAAACAACCCACAAGAAAAGCTGTGCCAAATCTTAAGGACAGCTGCGACAGAAATGGGATGAAAAGTAACAGCAAAGGACAGAGTATCGCACTTAGAGGCTAATGATTCATTACTTGGAAGTAGCAGAGATGCAAAACATCTGTGTATGACCATCATATAAGCAGCTACTAAAAGTCACTAAAGAGAGCTGTTGGAGAAGAAAAAACCTACTATTATGCATAAAAGCATCTCTACTTCCAGGGAAGAAAGAGACAGACAGATACCATGGCAGTAGACAATCAAATTCTTGCTAGAAACACTGTATAAATTTGGTAATACATATTCACAAAAAAATCTGTTTGGGGTAGTACAACAAAACATCTGACCAAAACAAAATCACAAAACATCTTAATAATTAAACCAAGGACAATGACCACTTACACGTCAAAAGATGATGTAACTAGTGGATCTACACAAGGTCACAGCCAGCCAGCTATGGCTCCTAGGACAGTTTCCCTTGAGCTCTCAGCACAGCACAATTGTGGTCTCAGCATTCAGACTCAGAGCCCACCCAGCATCAGCCAATAACAGCCTACGAGGAAGGGCAAGTGCAGAGTAATTGGGGAAAGTACTACTGTTTGGGATTTGGGGACATCCTGATTTGGATGGATCTGATAGCCCTCAAAGCACTCGTTCACTCTGTTAGGAGTTCCCTTTCGTGCCCATGGGAACTTTTTTACTCTCGATGTCTCGTGACAAGGATTTCTACAGCTTCATTCCATGTTTTATTAACAATTGCTTTCTTTTAGCTAGTTCTCAACCAACCTCCCATTATTTCTCTTAATTCTCAATAACTTTGCTCATCCTTTATCAACGCTGGGGATGCCCCACCTCTGGAGGCGTTCAAGGCCAGGTCAGATGGGGCTCTGGGCAGCCGGATCTGCTGGGAGGCCACCCTGCCCATGGCAGGGGGTTGGAACCTGAGGGGCTTTAAGGTCCCTTTCAACCTAAGGCATTCCAGGCTTCTGTGTCACTCATTACACCTTTATGATTCCCTGCCTCTGATATGGAACCTGTGCTGCATTCTCCCTGTTGTAGTCTCTTATCAGGCTGAAGAATCTAAGGCCCTAGAACTTAGGCCTTCTTTGTGTGGAAGCTGTTTCACTACTTTGTTCGTATTTATCACCTTCTGCATTTTCTCCCTTTCACACATACCTCTCGTTTGGTATTCAAGACAAATACACCACAGGCTGCTACCTGTTTTATTCCACTCTTAATAATTCCCAGCATTCGCTCAAATACTTCTGAAGAGGAAGCTTAAGGCCTAAATCTAGCAAACTAGCAGAAGCTTAAACTAACAATGAGTGCCTGGGAGGACAAGGAAACCAAGCTCCAGAAAGCAAGTGGAATCAGTAAACATATGTAAGAGATGCAATTGAAATGGCACACAGGCATATGAGCACTGAAGTGGCTAGAGAATGACAGGGGAATCTGAACAGGCTGGTAGTAGTGTCTTTTCCAAGGAAAGAGCTGGAGACATGAAGAGAAATCACCAGGACACGGGCTCAAGAAGGAAGCACACATGTTCTTCATATTTTTGCTGTGGAACTTCTTGCTGTAGAGTGTTTAGACACTTAAGGTGCTGAAGAGGTCACAGGAAAATGTTCATGGAAAAGTCTAGTAAATATAAAAACGCTAAGTCTGGCTCAGGAAGCCTGTGACCAGTGAATTGCTGGCAACTAGAATACATGGGAAAAGCTATCACGACATGTCTCCTGCCAAGCCTGTCCCTACACATTTGGCTTTACAACTGTCAGATGCAGGGCCTTGATATGCAAATGAGTATAATCATC